CTATTATCATTATATTAATAACAGCAGCAACAATATTTTGTAATGACGAAAACAATTTTTGATAAAAAGTCATTTTACTCGGCCACTTTTAATTACAATTAAATTTATTACTTTGGATTCGTGAACAGTGGTTTATAACGAACCAATTACAGTGAAAAGCAAATAACGAATATTGTCAGAGAGATAGGGATGGATAATTAACTGCACCCCCATACTCTCTCATCTGGCTAACCTTTCTTTGTGATTGCAGAGCAGCAGAAAGGAAGGAACAAGAAGGCGAAGAAGAAGAAGCGGCAGCGACCGTACGCGCGCGACATCACGGTGGCGCAGGCCTACCAGAACCTCTCCGGTGGACTCTACAAGGTTAGAGCAGCATTTCCACTCCCCATCCACGCGTGTTTCAGCGGGCAGATCTGCTGAGAGAGGGCAGCTAAAATCATGCATCAGGGCCGTAGCCTGCGGGAGGCAAGGGAGCAGCTGCCCCCTCTAGATTTTGGAGCAAAATTAAACAAATAAATTGTTGTACTAAAAGAGAATTGTCGTAGTCAGAATGAAGGCTGTACATGTACTCAAAAGTGCCTCAAATACCATTTCCTGCGATCTACATTTTCAAAATTTTCTGTGGGAGGACCACCAGACCCCTCACCTGTTTCTCACCCCTCCTTGAAATCCAGGATCCGCCACTGCCCCCTCCCCCCTAGGAATTTGCTCAGCCTACGGCCCTGCGCATGCACGATGAATAGATGAATATCATTAGAACTCTATCTGTGCTAGTGATCGTTCTGGGTTTCTACATCCCGTTCACGCGCGTTTCAGCGGACAGATCTGCACGCATCTACCTAGAATTGCGCACGCACGCGCTGTGTGAATAGTGTAATTGATGAGATATATCACTAGAATCGTGCACCGAGGCACCACGTGCTGTGTGAAGTAGTGTTAATTGATGGAGATATATCACTAAGAATCGGGCACTGCACCGCACTGTGCTGTGTGAATAGTGAATAATTTGATGAATATATCACTAGAATCGCGTGGCACGCAACAGCATAACGTGCTGTGTGAATAAGTGTACATTGATGAGATAATATCAGCTAGATCGCGCGCACCGCACGCACAGCGTCTGTGTGAATAGTGTAATTGAATGGAAGATATATCACTAGAATTCGATGCACAGGCACGCACGTGCTGTGTGAATAGTGTAATCTGCATGATAATATAATCAACTAATCGTGCAACAGCACGCACGCGCTGTGTGAATAGTGTAATTGATGAGATATATCACTAGAATCGCGCACGCACGCGCGCGCTGTGTGAATAGTGTAATTGATGAGATATATCACTAGAATCGCGCACGCAGCACAAGCGCGGCTGTGTGAAATAGTGTAATTGGATGTAGATATTATTTCACTAAAGAATAGCGCACGCACAGTGCTGTGTGATAATAGTGTAGATTTGATGAAATATCACTAGAATCGTGCACGCAGCAAGCACGCGCTGTGTGATAGTGTAAATGATGGAGATTAAGTATCATCTAGAATCGTGCAGCGACAGTGCACGTGCTGTGTGAATAGTGTAATTGATGAGATATATCACTAGAATCGTGCACGCACGCACGCGCTGTGTGAATAGTGTAATTGATGAGATATATCACTAGAATCGCGCACGCACGCACGCGCTGTGTGAATAGTGTAATTGATGAGAATAATATCACTAGAATCGGTGCAGGCGCGACAAAGCCAAGCGCGCTGTGTAATAGTGTACATCTGTGAGATATATTCACTAGAATCGGTGCATTGCGTGAATAGTACTTGAGATATAATCAGAAATATAGAGTCGTTCTGCAATTTCTGAATGTTCCTACGGGAGAACGTTGCGCAATTGCCCGTTTTTTTACGAATTTCTCTCATCTGTTGTTAATTTCAACCGTTATTAAGCGAGCTTTCTCTCCGTAGTAGGGACATTGTTAATTTTCATCGCAGGCGTTTTTTTCGCCAGTTTTCATCGTTCGCGGGTCGTACTGCCACGCGAGTAGCAAATAGTTCCGCGGTTTGCCCGACGATTAGTCAGAACCGCGGTTCCCCCCCGCCACGCGTTCTATCTCATGTGCGAGTGGCGTGGTGTGGTTTGCCGACGTTATTTAGTAAACTTTCCCCCCTCAGTGGGACATTTCTATCGTCGCAATGTTTATTTTCCCGAAGCCGTTCCCCTGTCTCGGTCCCGCACGTGCGAAGAGGCATAGACGGGTGGGTGGCGGTTTGTCCCGACTTATTTAGTTAACTTCCCCCCCTCAGTGGGAACTTTCTTACGTCGCATGTGTATTTCCGCAGTGTTCCGGCTGCTGCTCGTTCCCGCACGTGGCGACGAGGCGTAGACGGGTGTGGCGGGCGGGTTGTCCGACGTTATTTGGTGGTTAAACCGTTATATAGTTTGACCATCTATGTTAATCATTGAGCGTTTATTTAGACATCCTACACCGCGTGGACCTTCGTGCCTCGTGTGGCAGCGTCTCGCTGGATTTCAGCTGGAGGGCCGGCAGAAGATAGCCCGATGGTTTGAGTTTGATTTCGGAGCGAGGTGCGCTACGAACATCGGGCTTCGGACCGTTTGCACGTGAACACACGTTTCCACCGCCTCCAGGTGCCGTTCGAACAGTGAGCTACGTGGCGAGTCGTAGTAAGTTCGTTGTCTGTGTTCCGGGTGGCGTCGAAGGTAGCTAGGTTCTGTTTGTTCTGTTTGTGTCCAGCTGGGCCGGCCGTCATAGTAAGGGTTCTAATTGTTCTGTTGTTCCAGACTGACCGCCTGTCATAGTAGGGTGTCTGTGTTTCTGTTGTTCGCAGCTGGCCGTCATCAATATGTAGGTTCTGTATTGCCTGTTTTCCGGGTGCCGGTCGTAGTAGTTGAGAGTTCTGTTGTTCCTGTTGTTCCAGCTGGCGCCGTCCATAAGTAGGTTCTGTGTTCTGTTGTTCCAGCTGCCAGTCATCGATAGTAGGTTCTGTATTTCTGTTGTTCCCGGGTGCCGGTCGTAGTTAGTAAGAGTTCGTTGTTCTGTTGTTCCAGCTGGCCGCCGTCATAGTAGGTTCTGTTGTTCTGTTGTTCCAGCTGGCCGTCATCATAGTAGGTTCTGTTGTTCTGTTGTTCCGGGTGGCCGCCGTAGTAGTAGGTTCTGTTGTTCTGTTGTTCCGGGTGGCCGCCGTCGTAGTAGTAGGTTCTGTTGTTCTGTTGTTCCAGCTGGCCGTCATCATAGTAGGTTCTGTTGTTCTGTTGTTCCGGGTTGCCGCCGTCATAGTAGTCAATCTGTACATATATAAAATCTGTAAGGCAAATACATTAATATGTACCAAGCAAAAACAAAATCAATATCAACATAAATAGGTATCTCCACATCAAGCACACCGGAGCATCGTAAGACACCAGATGCTGAATTTGTAAAAAGACCCCTCTCAAAAAATTCAAGGCCTACCTACCTTTCCAAACTTTTCAGCCTGGGTCGGGTGAGGGCAAACAAAGATTTTTTTAATTGTGGTCTAATTCTGTTGTTCTGTTGTTCCAGCTGGCCGTCATCATAGTAGGTTCTGTTGTTCTGTTGTTCCAGCTGGCCGTCATCATAGTAGGTTCTGTTATTCTGTTTCGCGGAGTGCCAAGCCGTCATAGTAGTTCTGTTGTTGCTGTTGTTTCCAGCCTGGCCGTCATCAATAGTAGGTTCTGTTGTTCTGTTGTTCCGGGTGCCCGCCGTCATATGTAGTTCTGTTGTTTCTGTTGTTCCAGCTGGCCGTCATCATAGGTAGGTTCTGGTTGTCATGTTGTTGCCGGTGCCGTCATCTATAAGTAAGTTCTGTATCTAGTTGTTCCGGGTGGGCCGTCGTAGTAGTAGGTTCTGTTGTTCTGTTTGTTCCAGCCTGGCCGCCGTAATAGTAGTCTGGTGTTCTGCTTGTTCCAGCTGGCCGTCATCAATTAGTAATTCGTTATTCTGTTGGTTCCGGTGGCCGTCGTAGTCGTAAGTTGCTGTTTGTTCTAGTTGTCCAGCTGGCCGCCGTCATAAGTAGGTTCTGTTGTTCTGCTTTTTCGCAGCCTGGCCCGCATCAATAGTAGGTTCCTTGTGTTGCTGATTGTTCCGGTGGCCGCTCCTGTAGTATAGGTTCTGTTGTTTCATGTTGTCACGGGGCTGCCGTCATCATAGTAGTTCTGTTGTTCTGTGTTCGCAGCTGGCCCGTTCAATCATAGTAGTTTTCCCTGTTGTTCTTGTTGTTTCCAAGCTGGCCCGTCAATCAATATAGTTTCGTTATTACTGTTGTCCAGCTGGCGTCATCAATAGTAGGTTCTGGTTATTCTGTTGTTTCCGGGTGGCCGTCGGTAGTAGTAGGGTTCTGTTTTCTGATTGTTGCCAAGCCTGGCCAGCCGTCAGTGAGTAGGTTTCTGTTGTTCTGTTGTTCCAGCTGCCGTCCATCAAAATAGTAGGTTCTGTTTGTTTCTGTTGTTCCGGGTGGCCCCGGTAGTAAGTAGGGTTCTGTTGTTCTGTGTTACCAGCTGGCCGCCGGTCATAAGTAGGTTCTGTTGTGCTGGTTGCTTCAGTGGCAGTCATCAATAGGTAGGATTCGTGTTGTTCTGGTGGTTCCCGGAGTGGCCGCCGTAGTAATCAGGGTTCTGTTGTTTCTGTTGTTCCAGCTGGCCGTCAATCATAGGTAGGGTTCCTGTTGTTCTGTGTTTCCGGGTGGCCAGCCGTAGTAGTAAGTTCTGTTGTTGCTCACTTGTTCCAGCTGCCCGCCGTCATGAGTAGGTCGTTGTCTGTTGTTCCAGCTAGGACGGTCATCATAGTATCTGTTTTCTGTTGTTCCGGGTGGCCGCGTAAGCTAGTAAGGTTCTGTGCTTGTTGCTGTGTTCCGGGTGGCCGCCGTCGTAAAGTAGTAGGGTCTGTTATTCTGTTGTTCCAAGCTGAGGCCGTCATCATAGTAGGTTCCTGGTTGTTCTAGTTGTTCCGGTGCAGCCGGTCAATAAATGTAGTCAACTGTAGACATTAATATAAATCTTAGTCAATGACATTAATATGTACCGAGCAAAACAAACATTCAACATAAGAAAGGTATCTCCACGACTAAGGCACGCCCGAGCATGTAGACAGCCAAATGCATGAATTCGTGTAAAAAAGACGCCCCCCTCGTCGAAAAAAAAAATTCAAGGCCTACCTACCTTTCCAAAACTTTTCAGAACTGGGTCGGGGTGAGGGCAAACAAAGATTTATTTTAAATTGTGGTGCTTGGCCAGTCGCGTGTGAAGTGATCGATCGTTGGAAGCGTAGTAAGGCGTAGTCCAGGCTTGCGAGTGGCTGGGTGATGTTTTTTTATGGGGGGGGGAGGAGTTTGCTGCGTTACCGCAGCGCGCAGTCACGGACCGTCAAGAATCAATATAATAAAGAATAATAATAATAATAATAATAATAATAATAATAATAAAGGAAAATTGTGATAGAAAATAAAGAATAATGTCACCACTTGCCGGCGCCCCCACTGTTGGATGAAGACTGATCGTCTTGGTCGCTGATTTTCGTCTGCCCTCTTGTTTCTCGTTCCGGCAGTTCCGTGAGATGACGGAGCTGAGACAGTACGAGTCGGCGAGCTCTCACGACCTCTTCCTCTCTGCGTGCAAGTGCTTTCCACCAAGCGAAGGTCCTCTACGAGTCTCTCAACACCCGGACGAAGAGGTGAGATGGTTCGGTCTGTCCGTCGGTGCGCGCGCTCCCCCTTTGTGATTGTTCTTTTGGACGCAGTGTGAAGAATAGTGCTTTTCGGCGAATTTTTCGTCAGAAAAAAAGTTGATTTCAGTAACAATGTACTATAAAATATTGTGACAAATATAAATGTATCATTTCACTGTGTAATTTGATTGCAAGTGGCAAATTAGATGGGTTAGAAGTGTACGTAAGTTTTCAGAATGTTTTTAAATCGTGCGATGTGATTTTTGTGGGCGATGCAAGTGCCAAGGCTCTGTTGAAAGTGGGCTAAAACGGAAATTTCGCTAGTCAAATGAAGCTGCTACAAGTGGACACAAAGGGCGATTCCGAAGTACTCATTCCTCGGCTGTTGTAGTTGAGTTATCTGCCGGCTATACAATATGATCGAAGGGTGAAAATTCAGCTCCAGGGTTGCCTCGGGTTACCGGATTATGTTTGAGAGTGACCGTTCATTTTCAGCTTTCCGACAAGTATGGTCTGCCATAAGAGTTCAGGCTGGGAGTGTTAAAAGCTCACATATTTCTGCATACCGGCGTTGCACTGGCCCTGCCCTTCCTTAAACCACAAGGATGCGATGCCAAGAAACAAAATATTCAAATCTTAACATTAAGTCTTGACATATAGCTTTATTCTCAGTAATGCACTTATAACTTTATCACGCGTGCACTAGTTAATTCGTCAAACTGTATTTCATAATTTTTTGACTTTGATTAGTAAACAAAGTTAGACTAACGTTAAGACTAATTTTGTGTCGACAATGCGCCCCATGCATCAACGCATGAAAGGGCGACTGAAAGTCCCAGGTGCACCTACCCAGTCATGAACCAAAACTATCCCACCCCACCCTGCCATTGCCTACTCCTACCAAACCACACCTCGCCTGCCTACAGCCTCCAAAATTCAAAGATTTTCTGATATTTTTCAATAAAAGATTCCGATTCTGTGAGATGCCTGAAATTGCATCTAAAGGGCACTGAAAGTTCCAAAAAAGCACTATGTTCGTCTTTTTTTTAGATCAATATGCCACTTACATCTCTGGATTTCAGGAGCCGCCGGAACGTTTCTCTTCACAGCCGGCACAAGGCTTTCCCGAATCAATTCGTATCACCGTGATGGTGCCGGGCCCGCTCGTTCGCTCACCCCTGTCGCTATGCTTCACAGTGGTCGAGAGAGAGAAGTGGGAGAGTAAGAAGCGAGCGAGAGAGAGAGGAGGAGAGAGAGAAACTTGAAGCGAGAGAGAGAGCGGAGAGAGAGAGAGGAAGAAGCGCGAGAGAGAATGAGAGAGAGAGAAAGAAACAGAGAGAGAGCGAGAGAGAGAAAGAAGGGGAGAGGAGAGAGACTTAAAGAGGGGAAAAAGAGAAGGGGGACACAGAGAGAGCAGGAGAGAAGAGAGCGGCTGCCAGAGAGAGAGGGAGAGGAGAGAGAGAAGAAAGAGAGAGCGAGAGAGAAGGAGAAAAGAGAGAGAGAAAGAGAGAGCGCGAAAGAGACAGAGAGAGATTGAGAGACAGAGAGTGCGAGAGAGAGAGGGAGAGAGAGAGAGAGAACAGAGATAGAGAAGAGAGAAGAGAGAGAGAGCGCACGCAGAGTGAGAGAGATAGAAAGAGAGAAGAGAGAGAGAGCACGCGATTATAGAGAGGGAGAGAGAGAGAGAGAGAGAGATAAGAGGAGAGAGAAGAGAAGAGAAAGCGCCAACTTTTGTCAATGCGAAAGCTAAATAGAACTAAGCGCGAATCACGCGTTTCGTGATTTGCGTAGAAAAGAACTAAGCAATTTTTTCCGTGTGTGTGGTTACTAAGCATGCCGGCCGATGTGTGATGTGGAGATCAAATTGAAATAGACGTCAGGATGTATAAATATGCATATATTAATATATAAATATATATATA